AAAAAAAAAAAAAAAAAGAAATAGCTCTGGAAAATAAAAAGCTGAAATTTAATATTCAATAAAAGTTGGAGATAATATTGCAGAAATTTGCTAGAAAGCAGAACAAAAACTGCAAAACAAAACATAAGAAAACTAAAGGACTGATCTAGGAGTTGGTCCAATTCCTGGTAGGAATTTCCAAAAAGAAAGAACCGAAAATGGAAGGAAGAACATCTCTAAAGAATAATGGAAGAAAATATCCTAAAACTGAGGGACACAGTTTTCAGACGGAAAGAGCCCATGGAGCAACCAGCACAATGAATAAAAAAGACTCACAATTTTATAAAATTTCAGAACACAAGGGATAAAAAAGATTCTGACAGGTGGAATAAAACCGCTACCAAAGAAGCAGGAATCAGAACACGGCAACTTAGCACTGGAAGCTAGAAAAATCGACAATGTCTCAAAATACTGAAGGAAAACAATTTATAACCTGGAATCCTACCCAACTGCATTATCGAGCACGTCAGAGGGAGGAGAGTAAAAACAACTTTAGACATGCTAGAAACAAATGTGTTATCTTACAGTTTCGGAGGCCAGGAGGGCTAAACTCAAGTATCAGCAGGGCTGCGTTACTCTGGGGGCCGTGGGGGGAACCCACCTCCTTGTTCTTCCCGGCTTACGGAAGCTGCCTGCACTCCTTGGCTTGAGACTCCGTCCTCTATCTTCAAGGCCCAAGGTATAGCATCTTCAAATCTCTCCCTGACTCTGACCCTCCTACCTCTCTCTCTCACAAGGACCCCTGTGATGACACTGGGTCCGCATGGATTATCCAGGAGAATCTCCCCATTTCACAAATGAAATTCTCCCCATTTCAAGGACCCCATCCTTGATCAGAGCTGTGGGGTCCTTGTGAAAGGTGAGGCAATACCTTCCACAGGTCCTAGGAATTAGAATCTGGACATCTCTGGGGTCATTATTCTGCTTATCAAACAAAGCCTCAAAATTTTTATCTCCTGTGCATCTTTTCTCAAGAAGTTATGGATGATATGTTCCACTGTAACATGAGAATAAACTAAAAAGGTGAAGACCTGAGGTCTAAATAAGAAATGAGTAAATGAAATTCCTTGGGAGAGGAGGCCCAGGATGACTGCTCTGCAGCAGCCTAAGGCACAACAAAACTACAAGATTCTAACAGGTATGTCTCCAAAAAGAAAATGAAACCAACAGAATATGTGGCATGTTTGAAGGTGTTCCAATTAGAGAGTTCTGAGAAGGAATATAAATATGTACTTAGAAAACTATGCAAACAAAAAATGAGGCAAATATTGGCTCCGTGAAAAACAAAAAAGTATAAAAGGAAGCATATATATGTGGTACAACAGTGAAACACAAACAGGTGCATGTGGCACTGAAATATACCTAAATACAGTGAGATACACACTGGGGAGAGGCTGGTGTATATATATGTATGTGTACAGAGTGTGTGCAGGGAAGAAAGGCTGGGAGAAAAAGAAATGTATATTCTCATTTTTCATAGTATGGAGTCAGTAGATAGTATCTAAAATTGAAGTACTGAAGTAGCAATGTGATAAAGTTGTTCAGAAACATGAAGATAAATATCAGAAGAAATAGTGAAAAGAATAGAAAGCGTTTGCTATTATTCTTTGATTTTTTTTCCTTACTCCCTTCTCTTTCCTTTCCTTTCCAGACTCCCATCAGATTGTTTGATATTGTTCATTTTCACTCGTCTGCTCGTCTCTTCATGCTTCATTTTGGATAATTTCTATTGCTGTGTCTTCAAGCTTACTGATCTTTTCTTCTATAGTGTCTAATCTGTGGTTTACACCATCCAATGTTTTGTTTTATTTTGTTTTGTTTCCACTTTGGTCTTTTTTATATTTCCTCATTATGTCAAGGTTTCCTTTACATCATTCAGGTTATTTAGAAGATTCATCATACTTGTTTAAAAGTCCTGGTTCTATGAATTCCATTGTCTGTCATTTCTGGGTTTGTTTCTGTCGATTGGCTTTTCTCTTATTTATGTTTTTATTTTCTTGCTTCTCTGTACGTGTGGTAATTTTTGACCGGTGCTGGACTTGGTAAACTTTGCATTGTTGGGTGCTGAGTTTTGTTGTATTCTTGTAAAGGGTGTTGGGTTTTGTTATGGCACGCAGCTAAAATACTTTCTTAGTTTGATTCTTTAAAGGCCTCCTTTTACGCTTTGTTATGGCAGATCCACAGCATCCTTATTCTGGTGCTACCTTAACCCCACTACTAACGCATGACCATTCTGAGGACCACGACCGATATTCTGTATATTATGAGTTCTCTGCACTCTGGCTTTTAGGAACACAAACAATTCCTAGCCCTGTAGGATATCATATAACCTATTGCTTTTCAAGTGGTTCTTTCTCTGGTTGTAGGGTCTTTTCTCCCATGCATGCAAAAAACTATACTCAGAAAAGGCTCAAGGGAGCCCCACCACTCCAGATGTCTGAAACTCTCTTCTTCTCTGTGTAGTTTCTTCTTTGCTGCAGCAAGCCTAGCTACGTTGGCTTCTCCAAACACTGACTTCTGCCTCCTCAATTCGGCGAAACAACTGAGCTCCATCTCTGTTTCTTCTCCTGGCACTGCAGTGTGGAAACTGCTTCAAGGCAGTAAACTCAGACGATCACAGGACTCCTCGTTTCCTTTCTCTTAGGGAAAACAGTACCATTCAACCTGTTTGCCAATGTCCCCAAACCATTTGTTTCCTAGTCTGCTTTCAGCGGGTGAGCAACTCCCAGAGCACTTCAAAGGCAGAAAAAAAGTTTCCAAGGCTTTTTAGATCTTAGGCCCAACTCTCAAGCCTTTATTCACAACCCTATTCTCATTCACAATCCAAATTAGTGTATCTGAGGTATACTGTGTTATCCAAGAGAGACAGACAGACTAGGAGTAAGTCATGAGCCCTGATGCTGTTATGACAAAGAATGTACGGTCTAGAAACTTGAGCTCTAGCCCTAATTTTGTTGTTAGCTGGGTATGAGCTTTTAGTAATTAAATACCACAATGCCTCAGTTTCCTCACTATGTATTAACACCTTTACTTCCTTTTGAATCCATCCGACCTCTAAAACACCTCAGGGAAAAGCTGTAACTAACCAAATTCCTTAGGATGCTTTCGACCCCAGAAGAACAAAATTGCTCTACAACAGAATTGTATATACTAAGCTGTGGAATTTTTGCCACGCCACAATTACAGTTACAATAGCATAGCCAAAACACAGTATTAACCGTGATGCTAGATTCTGTGCTAAGTTCTAAATAAAAGTTCTTTCTCTTCTGTACTTTAAAAAAAGTATGTTTTTTTTTTTTTTTTTTTTTTTTTTTTTTTATTTAGAGGGAGAGAGAGCGCACAGGAGCAGGGGAGAGGCAGAGAGGGAGACCGAGAATCCCAAGCAGGCTCTGTGTTATCAGCATAGAGCCTGACGCAGGGCTCGAGCTCACAAACTGTGAGGCCATGACCTGAGCCGAAATCAAGAGTCAGACGCTTCAACGACTGAGCCCCCAGGCGCCCCTTCTGTACTCTCTATAAGAAGCAGAAATTGATGCCTTTCCGTGTTCATCCAGCCTGCCAGTTATCCAGATAAATGTTGACTTTCAATTTCTTCTGAAGAATTCATACAAAGTAATTTTTTTATTTTCAATACCAAGAATATCAACTCTTCCCTGCGAATTTCTGGTCCTAGAGAGGACCTCAAAACAGAATCTAGGTCTTTGGATTTATTTCCTTAAGCAATGAAGGAATTACACCTGCCAAAGCCGTTTCCTAATTTCATTCGGGCCAGAGGAGCCACGTTATTGGCGAACAATCTGTTAGTGGTGCTTACGATCCTCCCCAGCCAGCATATTTCCCCTCGTCCTCTCTTGCTCTGTTTTCTGTCTTACTCCGCTTCTGTCTCACGGCTCAGTGTCCTCTCCTGCACCAGGCAAGTGGCAGAGAGCACAGGGCGGAGGGCAAAAGGGCAATCAGCCGTTACCTGGTGAGATCCAGAAGGCAGGCTCTTTACTAGACCCTCTGTGTCGCAGGGGGACTTCCGGGGAGCCTGCTTAACCGGTGAGACACTCTCTGATGTACTGCAGCTGATGAGTTGGCAATGTGGAGAACAGATGTAAAAAAAAAAAAAAAAATTAATTAAAATAAAGGGGGAAAAATATAGAAATGCAAGTGATGACAAGATGAAGCCGCAGATAGAACAAAACACGACAGAACGATGAGTGTCAAAATGATCACAGATCTTGAGACTTTTTTTTTTAATCCCTGACACTATCTCTTGTAAGTCAGTGAACCTCCTCTGGGCTAAATACAGAAACCAGTACGGTGCCACCTCTTTGCCTCACTGTGCAATAATCCTGTCTCCTGAAGGGCCTCTGGCTATAGTGCCCATTTATCCTCTGGCTGCTTCGTGTGTTTCTCCTGCCGTCACTCCTCTGGGATGAAGGTTTACGGGAGTAAGCTAAGCCTTCGTAACAGCAATGCAAGGCGAGCCCCTGCTGAATTTATTTCCCGAATTACAGATCCACATCGAAGCTGCAGTCTTGGCTCATCTCATTCCTTTCATTCCCTAGTTCCCCATCTTCGGTGTCCCCCGCCAGAACTACAACCAAACCGAAGAAAACCCAGGAAGTCATGAGTGATAAGAAACTGTGGAATGCCACATCACACAGGCTGGACTTTTTCAAGGGCCCGGGGGCGGGGGGGGGGGGTTCTTTAACAACAAGGATTCTCTCGTAAATAAAGAAGGGAAGGCAAATGCCGGGAGGGAACTCTTTAGGGATTCTCTATTGGTACTTGTCAGAGCTTCAATCCTTTCGGATGTATTTTTAAAGAAAATCTTAGGAGTTTGGCAAGGTTCACGTTCAAGTGTTGTCACGAAGACCGAAGCCAGCTGTGTGTTTAAGCTGCGTCTTCTCTGAAACGGGAAGCTTTGCATCCCAAATGAAAATGGTCTGAGTATCTAACACAGAGAGGGTCTCAATCACAACACAATTCATGCATAAAAGAACACTAAAACACACACACACATACACATACATACACACACACACACACACACACACGCACACACACACACACAAAGCCATTCTACATGAAGAACATATATATTCGGATAATCGTACAAGCCCTAGGAAACCTGACAACCCAGTTTCACTGGGCTGGTATGCTCGACAAGTTGCCAGTGCAAACGCAGGACGTATTTGCGGACAAACCATAATAACTGTTGGGTTAGCTCGGAGCAAGCTAGTTAGTCGTCAACAAGGGAGATGGGCTGAATACGTACACACGAATGTTAACAGCAACGGGCGATGTGATTAGTTACCATGTGTCTAGTGTAGGTGGAAGGAGACCCCAGCCCTGTTACAGTCCCAGTGTGTCGTCTATGTCAGCTTTTCTTAAGAAGTGGAAGATAAGCAGGATCTGATCCCGGCACACCAAGGTAGAAAAAGGGAGGGAGGGGGGAAAAAAAACCGAAGTAAGAAGAAAAGCAGCATTCACGACGCCATGCAGGATTCGAAGGCACGCTCTTCCGCCCCTTTATTAACCCCAAAGCGAAGAACTACAGAGGCTGGTATGTCCCCATCCTGGATTAGTCTCCCGTTGAAAACCAACACTCCGGTTATATTTCCTCGTAAAGCACTCACCATGCAAGGGGGGGAGATACAGTCGGCAGAACAGAAGCATTCCGAGCAAACAGTATCTGAATTTGAACACTCGAGCTTGTTTAAAACACGGCACTCCTAAAGCCTGGCGCAGAGGGGCCCGGGTTCCCGCCGTCCACGAGCAAGGGGGCCCGGGGCATGCAACCCTCTCAGATCACCGTGCCTTCGGGCTGGGTAAGCTGCGCCCGTGCACGTGGGACCCGGCTCGTGCTACAACTGGAACCCAGCCTCCGCTCAGTCTTACCCCACGAGTTCTACATAGCTTACATGGGTCAGCTGTCCAGCTGGAGTTGGGGAGAGAGAAGGTCCTCGGTTAGGCACACACCCTCTGCTCCAAGGGAACAGCCATAAACAAAAACAAAATCTATTCCCCTCTATGTTTGGGTGCCCAACTTTTACTGTATCCCAGTTTGGATGGGTCCAGCCATGCACTCCAGAATGATCAAAGCAATATAGCTGCTTACAAAAGTACAGAAAGGAAAAGCCCTCATCATCACGTCCGTCAGCTGAAGCCATTTACCGGCTTCACTGCACCAAACCGAAGAAAGGCACATTGATCCCTCTGAAGCAGGGATTAGTGTCACAGCCCACGTCTGACAGCAGGCCACCGATTTCTGCGTGCCCACGTCGGCACGCCTCTGATTCTGGTGCAAATGCGAACAGTAACTAATTCTTCACAATTCTTTTTCCATAAAAAATACAGGCAGTTTTTGATTCCTTCCCCCACCCCCCCCCGCCCTTCCCCCCACAAAGCAGTGCATCTTACCCAGTGTAGTCTCGTTTAGAGTTTCTCCTTCTATAGAGGACAGCCAGGATCATGCTGATGAGCAGAGTGAGCCCTAGGACCACGGCAGTAACTATACCCACCACCACCCAAACTGGAAACACGGGCAAGATCTCTAGAGAGAAAGAACAAAATTGTTTTAAGGTGCTTTGCTACCAAGAGAAGACTTGGGATTTTATGAAATTAGTAAGCGAGCGCTTTAGCGGTGACCACGTCCTCTTTTATCGTCCGCGTTATGAACTTCTGGTGTCTAACTGAGGATGTACACATCCTAAAGAATGAGCTTCAGGGCCAAGCGTTTCTGCACACACAATCCCTCCCTTTCAATGCTCTGAAGTCAAAGAAAATCCAGGGTGTGAATTCACCTCACTGTGCTCTCCAACAAAGCAGACTTTGTCTCAAAAGGAGACACCAGAACCTGCATTTCCTGCTTATTTTCAAAAAAAAGAAGAAAAAAAAAAAAAAAAGGAAGGTTGGGGGGAGAAAGAACTGTACTGTTTTTGCAAACGTTAAAACTTTCTCCTGGAGAATGGAGAAGCAGTATTCATTTTCTCTCCCGGTGCCCACCCCACCCAAGCACAGCGGATTTGGTCTTAACTTCTGATAAACACTGAAAACTGGACACTCCCGAAACCGGACCAGCAGGCTCCAGGTATCCGAAGGAGGAGGCCGGTTGCTACAGCTGTGTGAGTGTGGCTCCCCGCACCCTGGCACGTGAGGAGGGACCACAGGTGCACAGAAACAGGGACATAGCTAGCACAAAAACGTCCCTTCCAAATGCACCCGGAGATGGAACTCTTGTTCTCCAACTAAACCGGAGATAAAGGGGACTGCACCATCACCGCCGAAATACTCAAGAAGTACCTTTCTCTACAACATAGAGCCTAATGTGTCCTGGCTGAACAACAATGTCAGGAGGGTTCTTGACATCACAAATATAGGTGCCGTTGTGTATAAACTGCATATTTTCTATGTTGATTGACGCATCTTTCTTGTCGAGGTCTCCAGCCCAGCTGATCCTGTCCTTAAACGGTGGGTAATTCCCCGGATACACCTGCCCTTGCGAGTAGTGGAAAAACTGCAATTAGAAAAAAAAAGAACACATGAGATTTTCTAAAGGCAGACGCTCTAAACTCTGTAATAGGCATGCTGTGTGTGGAAGTTTCTTTTTTTAAAAAAGACTTCATACAGAAAGAAATACAACTTCGTATCGCAAATAAGCTATGGAATCTAAGCCAGACCGTTTAGAAATCACAGGGTTCAATCCTATTTCAGTGGAAGAAATAAACTCATGTGTCATCTTAAATCTTCGCAATATACCCCTGATGTAGTGATTACTGCCCACTTTTTCATATAGAAGGAAAAGGAGACTCAAAGAAGCCATTTGCCCAAGGTTACAGTGATAACAGGTGATGAATCCAAAGTCAAAGTCAGGACCATCTGACCCTTCACAGCCAGTGATTGTCATCGTGACAGAGCCTGTGAATCCAAAAGTTTCAGTCTGGATTCATGAAGTTTACTATTTAGTTATACAAAGACATGAAGAAAACAAAGCCTAAATATGACAGATCAGTTAGTCTGATGGGTTTCTCCCTCTTATGTATCAGTTTCCTCTGGAAATGGCATGGGTGTGTGAGTGGAAGCCCAGACACCCCCAATGTTCTCGCTTCTCTTTGAAGAGTCAGACTCTAGCTCACTCTTTCCTCACACCTGCTTTTAGTCAAGGAACTCCTTTCTCAAAGAAAACGTTGACAAGGGCTGGTCAAGCCCAGCACCTTGGAAACTAGATTAAGGCCTGGCAAGTGGGGATCTATCCTGATACCTGGCTTCAATCCAAGCATCTCGGCAGGAGGCCTGATGCCTTTCTTCTTATTCACAGGTCGGGTGATAGTGGGGCCAGGCAAACAAATCAGTAGGAGTCAACCACGAGCTCCATGATAACTCAAACGGAATGTTTTCAGAACCCTCTGAACACAGCAAATCTTCCCTATGATTGCATCCATTCCTAAGATTTAAGGACCATTGATATTTTGGTAACTCCCCAGCCCCTCTCTCCATCCGTAATGTTCCCCTGAGCCCTAGAATCTCCTCACCCAAATGCCTACTTACTTTACAACCCAGCTGCCTACCTCCAAATTTATCACCTTGCTCTGTAACCTCCACCTTCCACCTGTGTGTCCCATCTCAACGGGTGGATTATTCCAGTCTCCCAAACTATAATCCTGGAGTAATCCTTGATTCCTCTACCTTCCTTCCCATCCAGTTAATCTCCACCCAGTGAATCCTGTCAATTCTACCTCATACCTTTCTCTCTTCTCTCTACTGAAGTCCCACTGATAATACCTCATTTCATGCTCTCATCATCTGGGACTGTGGCCTCTTTACTGGCCTTGATCTCCTCTAACCCACCCTCCACAATGCCTAAATGATCACTAGAAAATATTAATAGTAATAATTACATTATCATTTATCAAGCATATAGCCCTATGCTTAATATAATCTAAATGCTCGTTAAGAACTATGAAGGCTCTCAGGAACTAAGATCTGGGTGGCTCAGTTGGCTGAGCATCTGACTTTGGCTCGGGTCATGATCTCATGGTTCAAAGGTTTGAGCCCCGAGTCGGGCTCTGTGCTGACAGCTCAGAGCTTGCAGCCTGCTTTGGATTCTGTGTCTCCCTCGCTTTCTGCCCTTCTCCTCTTGCACTCTGTCTCTCTGAAAAATAAATAAATGTTAAAAAAAAACAAACAACTATGAAGGCTCTCAGATTTTACCCTCCTTGGAAGTCTGTTAGAGTTTTTACTAGCTTGAAGATGATCTCATAAGAGAATGGAAGCAGGGCTGAAGTGTGAAGCTGGAAGTGACTTATAAGACATTCTAGACAAAGCGCTGAGCGTTGTTAGCAGTGGGAAACTGGGCTTTCCAACGAGAGGAGGGACAAGGTACAAGAACTGTTGTAGGGCTATGAACCTCGTGGAATGTAGGGTTGGATTGAAAGATGAACAGAAGTGGAGGAACAACCACTAGTCCTAGCACTAGTCCAACTGCACTAGTCCAACTGCACTAGTCCTAGCACGGTTTTTATCATGTGATGGAGAGCAGAGAAGCAGGAAAGCTGATGAGCGCTAAATGTCAGAAATCAAAACAGAAGACCCAGCAAACATTCGTATTTCCTGGGATGGAAAAGAAGTGGGAGCAGATAGGGAAGGGCAGGACCAAAATAAACCCCCATAAGACTCAAGATTTTAAAATTTGGGTCATTAGACAAACACAGCTACCTGAAAAGAACTAGCAAAGAAGGTAAACAGAGGGGAGAAAAGATGAGTTCCAGCTTAGACATGGGGACTCTGATTCCACAGCCCAGAAAAGGCATCTGTGGTATGCTGGGCTTCAATTTTCCTGAAAATCTGTGAAAATCAAAAGCATCCTGCTCATCTTCTTATACACGTTCTAACACCTGTGAGTTAAAAGATCTTCCATCAATAGCTAAGCATTCTGGAACTACCTGTAACCAGGCTGGTGTAGGAATACCAATGAATTAGCTAAATACACTCATCAAAAATACAGCATGTTCTTTATAGTAAGTCTTGAGGTATGTTCACCTGCCTTGACCCCCTCGGCAAGAATGTTTGTAGCATAAATGGAGCCACTACTTGAAAGAAAGTTATTACCATTGGACATCTTCCAGGGGATGTTTAATTTGCTGTAGACTAAACAATGCCCCCCATGTCTACTCTGACCAAAGACTTCAGCTGGGAAACCCTCGCAGGTTTAAACAATTCTTCAGACTTTCTTGAGTAAACCTATGTGTGCTTGCTTTTGCCTCTACAGGAAGCATGTTGTGCACTGAGGCCACATTTGTGTGAAGCAGCAGTAAGTTTTCCCAGGTGTGTGTGTGTGTGTGTGATGCCTGCTCTCACTCATTCCTGTGCTACCACACACAGAATCACACCCAGCCGGACCCGGTGAGCACTCCTGGACTTGACCTCAGCCTTCCTTCCTTCTTGGTACAACACCCAGGGCTTCCTCCTTTTTTATATAAATCCTGGGGGACACAGGTCCACCCAAGAATTTGGAAATCGGGTACATATTCCAACCCAGTGCAACCGAGATTTTCTTTTGGAGACTTATTTCAACAGAAGATACATAGCTTTGATAACGTCACATATGAAACTGAAGCCACTGAGGCTAAACATAAAAACGGTTTTATTTCAGGGGCTATAGTTATCTCAATGCACACCCCCAAGTTTTCCCAGAGAAGACCCTCAGGAACTCAGGACCTAGAGACAATGGACAGGTAGTCCCTCTGTTCTTTAAGGAAAGGCATCAAGGGTAAATTCTTAACACAAGGCTTTCTGCAAAAAAAAAAAAAAAAAAGACACTTCAAAATGTCATAGCAGCAGCTATGAGGCAGATAATTCCCACTAGAGTTTCTAAGCTGTGCCTTCTCAACAGGGGTGACATCTCCCCTGGGGGGGAGGGAGGCAAATACTGGCTCTAAGGGCAAGGGAGAAAGAGAAAAATACTTCACTCTTTTTACACATAAAGCACAGATGTGCAATATATCTGTAGTATTAAAACTGCATGGGGCACCTGGGTGGCTCAGTCGGTTGAGGGTCCAACTCTTGATTTTGGCTCAGGTCATGATCTCATGGTCATGGAATCAAGCCCTGAGTCGGGCTCTGTGCTGAGCATGGAGGCATGGAGCCCCCCCCCCCCCCCCCCCCCCCCCCCCCGTCTATCCCTCTCTCTCTGTGCCTCTGCCTGTGCCCTGCTCTCTCTCTAGAAAAAAAAAAGCCAAAAAACCTATAAATGAATGAATGAATGAATGAATGAATGAATGAATGAAGTTTCGTAGATGGGGCGCAGAAATTGGGAAAAGTGTGTTTTAAAAAGACTCCTTAGGAAGGTGATCATGAATAAAAAGACTGAGAAACAGTGCTTCAAGCAATCCCTAAAGCCTAGAGTTGGTTATCAACAAATGTTTCCATCTGAGAGAGAAAGAACATGTAAGGGAAAAAACCGAGTAACCAGAGCGCAAGAAAACGGGGTGTGAATGATTCCAGCCCGGACAGTGTGACGACTCTCGGAGCAGGTCCCCAGGCCCTCCCCAGCTTGTAAGCGGGGAGAAGTCTCCTTCCTCGTGAAGGTGAGGGGGTGATGTGAGGGGCGTAATTACATCCGGGTGAGGACCAACAAGGTGACTCGTCATCATGCAAGAGAAGAAGTGATCTGGAAGAGAAATGACAGACTCTGTCCCAGCTGCGCACGGACAATCGGGACCGTGAAACACTGCGAAAGCACATGCTGATACTTAAAGGACGGTCAACACGCAGACGGAACGGAAACACGGTGAGTTATGCCCGCTAGCCACCTCAGGAACTAGACCTAGCAGGAGCAGACTTGAACAATGTCCCCCTGGGCCCTCACAGCAGCCCTAGAAGGTGTGAGCATCCCCCCTCTTTGGGACAAGAATCAGGATGGTCGGTGTTGAAGAGCCCCACGGCTCAGCCAGCACTTGGCTAGTTACTAACTGGACCTCGCTTTCGTTCTGCCACTCACCTTAGTCTGAAGTCACCCACAAACCATTCCTTTTTTTTTTTTTTTTTTTTTTT